TAGGAAAGACTGAGCTATCTGCTACAATGATAGGCAACGTCTAAAACAGCCTTTGAATACAATTAGAATAAGTTTAGTACAGTTGATTCGAGTGGATAAGAGTCAAACCAGAACAGAAAGGATGTACTGAACCCAGTTAAAGGTTTAGACAGGGTTGGCATAGGACAAGAAGTCAGAAATAAAAGTTTTTATGATCTTATTTTGATATTTGTGAAAGTTAACTGAAAGGCATACTGGTATGCGATGTGATTAATTGTGAGATATTGCTTATCAGAAATTTAAATGTACCATTTAAAATTAATAATTATTTCTAGGATCTACAAAGTCATTTAAACTCTAAAACAAATATTATAACCAATMCCCAAGTATTATTCTTTGAAACTGTTTATGGTTAATAATAATAATATTTACTATGGACTGAGTCCTTTACCAGGTTCTAGGAATTTTACTAGGAATTTTAKTTGTCCTAATTCATTTAATTCTTACACTTTTATAAGTACTATTATCCTCAATTTTTGTAAGAAGTGAATAAAAATTGTACTATCTGACCTTATGTTTCCTTTCTTACTTCAAATATTTTACATGAATTATATCAAATACTTCTTATACTATGAAGTATTATTATGTGAATTTTAATAAGGMTATATGGGTATAAAGAGAATTGCAGGTGTAAAGAGTAGATAGCCATAATCCTAGAGCCTATTCTCTGAATTCCTATGGTACTGATTCAAACAGTAAAACACACAGACCAGATGAGCCAAAGACTTTTTAACAACACTTCAGTAATTTGGTAGCTTACCAAACTACTTCTTCAACTTAAACTTCTTGGAGTAATGTTTTAAGAGTCCACTCTGAGAAGAACATACACAAATTGACAATATTGCCTTTAAAATTATACTAAACTGGAGTTTTCAGCTTACAAGGTAAATGCCATTCTTGAATTAAATGAGAAGAATGACTTTAGTTACCTTAGAATAAATATAGTATTATGCATTGAAATGTTAGCAAAGGTTGAGTTCAAGCTCCTTTCTTGATAGACTAGAAAAGAATCTGTAGTTCTTAATCAGTAAGAATGTATTGGGTCGGTGAGATGAACTATCGGTATTTCCCTCATTGCCAATACGTAAACATTTTTAGCACTTAAGACAGTATTTGTCATTTGTAGATATAAGTACATTTGATTCTCAGTAATACAATATTTCCATAGATGGTATTTCCAATGGAATATAGAATGATTCTTAAGATAGGCTGTTGCAGTTTTTATACTTTTTATAGAAAAATTCTATAACTCAGAAATTTCTATGAGTCTAAATGCTAAAACCACAATGAGTATAAATTAAAATCAAAACTCTCATGCTTAAATCTCTTAAAATTCTTCCTTCTGGCCTAACAGTCTGTGGATGGTAGGGCTGAGGAGTTATCTTGTGGGGATTTTCATTTTGATTACTTTTTCCTTTATTCCTATCCTCTYCTGGTTTCTTGTATGGCCTTTCTCCAGGAAGAAAGGGCAGAAACCACGAATCCCTACCATACTAACACATGGTAACTTCCAGTCTGGTTGGGTGCTGAAACAAAGCCATGGCAAGGTATTGCCATCTTTGACATTAGAGCAATTCAAGCACTTCCTGCTATGTCATTTGGCCTTTTCCTTTTCACATACTCAAAGCCTTTTTTTYCCCCTCCCTGTCTATCAGACATATTTTAATACAGGAAAAAGTCCCTGAGGGTTTCCTTTGGGGCTAATTCTCGCCAAACTTCTGGGCCCAGGCCTGTGGTTATATAGTGGAACTCTTACAGAAAAACCACGTAGCACATGTCAGTAAGAGGTCATGAATCCTGGTTCTGGTCCTGTAAAGCTATTTATGCAGGGGATGCTTCTCTTYATCTCTGTTCTTACTGTACCCCCAAATTAACTTTCACATTTGTTCCCACTTAATTTGAGCTCCTGTGACCCGTTTAACAACCATCAGTAAATTATTGTTTTTAAGTGAGAGACTTCTATAAGGAGGCTTGCTACACAATTACCAATGTAGTACATAAATTCCTTTGTGGTAAAATAATATCTATATATCTAAAATAAATGATCATTATACATTTTTCCTGACTTAAACATAATAAATATTTTTTTCTTTTTAAACTAAATTTTATTTTGCAAATAGATTTATATTTATCATTCTATAATTTTTTTAAAAAATACATAATTTGGGCTGGATCTGTAGCTCAATGGTAGAGTGCCCGCCTCACATGTGTGAGTACCTCAGTACCACATAAAAATAAATAAAGATATTGTGTCCAACTACAATTAAAAAAAAAAAAAAATATATATATATATATATATATATATATATATATATATATATATATAATTTTAAAATGCCCTATTCAGGTATCATTTTGTCAATTTGACTGCTAAAATCCTATATCTTATATTCATGTTTTTCTTTCTCACTGGAGTATTTAATAAGAGTTACAAAGTCCATATTACTTTATTTACCTCCAAGTTTTGCTCTGATGGAAATGTCTGGTACTTGCCTGGAATTCCACCTCCTACTCTGTTGCAGTTCTTCGAACAGAATTGTTTGCCTTTTTATTGTTGTTGGAAATTCAGGGTCTGGTCTAGGAATTCGATGTTGAGGTTTCACATCACTGAAATCTGCCAGGTTTGGTATAGTTCTGCCAATGCCAGGCTTTAAATCAGCATCACCACCAGGACTCACAAATCCTGAACAGGGATCAACTAAAGGCACATCATCCCGAAGTGGAAATAATGGATAATTTGGCCCATAAGGTGGAGGATAAGGATAATGTACGTGATAGTTTGGCAGGACAGAAGGGGGGTAAAGATGAAATTTAAGAAAGGCAGGATTACATTTCATTTCAAATCTGCCATAGTCATGTCTGTCTTCAAATCCTTTCACAAAGGGCATATTCATTTTTCTTAAGAGATCAGAGTAGTGTGGGTAATCTTCATTCTCAACAGTTTTTCTTCCTGAAGAGATAGAACTTTTAGGAATACTTATCTTTCCAGGTTTGCACCGAACCTCCATATCTATAGCCTTTCTTCTTTTATAAGGACAGAAAATTGAAGTCAAATTCTTATATTTCCAATAACTGAAGATTAGTGTTTATCTAGCATAAAACTTTTGATTCATCTTTCTAAATGTTGATAGAATAAGGCTTTATTTTTGGTAGAAAATTTTCTTTTTCCATAAAAAGGAGGATAGGGAAGCAAAGCAGTAAAAGAACAAGACAGAAAAAAAGCAGAGCCCTTGGTGCTGGGCAACAGCTAGAACTCTAATACAAGGAACTATTATGCACATCATAATGTAATTCTTAGGAAAACCTTGGTAGTAATGTGTCCATGATGCATTTTTCTCTGATACTCAGGACAACTATGTTCATTTATCTAAAAATTTGCATAAGTTGATATTGTATGCTTAAGTTAAGGAGTATAAAGCAGTTGGTTTAGTGACAATGTATTTTTTAAGAATAGATGTGACTAAAATGAAAGCGTTTTCCTGATACAAATATCTTTATATTTGTGGTCTAAATAGGTGTTAAATTTAAATTTACTGCAAAGTAAACATGTATTATATTAAAGATAATTTAGTATGCCTAATTTTTAAGGAAGTAATCCCAAATTATACTCAAAGTAAAGTCTCATCCTTTACATTTTAGATAATCCTTACTTCTCTAATGCTACCATGGTGTTCAAGAACAGCAATGAGGGTTTTAACACTAATTCTAGGAAATTACAACAAGGTATCAGTTTATTCATCCACATGAACAATAAAATCTTACTTAAATTCGAAATATAGCAGTTCACTTAAAATCTGCTTTAAATCACACAATTTAGTCTTGCAGGAAAACTGCCTCCAAGGGAATTCCAAACATTATAACATGAGATAAAAGCTCATACCACACTTAGTAAAGCCAAAATTCAACCCAGGCAAAATTGTATAAGTCAGGTATGACTTGTGTATCAGGTCAGTTTTAAGACAGCAAAAGGTTAAGGTATCTGTGGTGTAATATAAAACCATTAAAATTTTAAGATATACTTCTCAGCAGTAAAGGAGATTGAAATAACTGRTAAGGCTGCCAGGTTTGAAATCTATGAGTATATTCAAAGTATATCTAGTGAGTTGTTAGTCCACTCATATCACTCATTCCTTCTTATTACATCAAGGTGACAATACAATTGTTGTTAGGCAGTCTTTAGTTGCTCTTCATTCTTCAAGGTATTTGCAGCAACTGCATGAGACTTATTTTTATCATAGGTCTGCTACTAACAGGTAAATCCTTCCAGAAGCAAAAAAGTAGAGGCATAATTCCATTTCAATTGCTCTAAAAATATATTCTTGTTATAAACAGACTCTTAGGCAGATAGGTGTTTTAGGTTTTTCTAAATTTAGGTGATGAAAGATGATTTTCCAGGCTGAGTCCGAAATTCAATTCCATCTATGGTCCTTTCTTCCATTTTTCCATCGAGCTGCATCTTGGCGTTAAAAGCATTACCTTTAGCTCCCCAAATTCACTACATTTTTCTTCCAGTATATTCCATATGTCAATAATGTACGTGTTGCCAACAGTGAGATCCAGGCAATCTCTGAGCACTGTAGGTGTATTAACTCATAAGTTTTGTGTGTTTATCAGAGTTGAACCCCAAACACTAAGACATAGCCTACATCCCATCTTGCAAAAAGAGTTCCCTCTGTCCATAATTGCTACTAAAAGGCCAAGAAGCAGGCTTGGGGGCTCCCGGATTCCTTGCATAGATACAGAATCTTCAACAAGTCGCTTAAGCGCTGGAGGATTCCCTCAGCAGCGGTGCTGTCTGGAAGATTCAGTGGACGCTCAGCGCGGGGCAGCGGCGAGTGTTCCTTCCTCCCCTAGTGTCAAAAGTCAAGCGGACATGCCAACACAACTCTAGCCTACCGCTCCGGCGGAAGTGGCGGCGAGTCCGTCTGGTCCGCCTTCCGGTCCACCGCCCGCCAATTTCCGGCGGCGGGTGAGCGCGCGTCGCGTAACGACCTTCTGCGTGGAGTGTAGGCAGGCGGCGKCGGCGTATGGATGGAGGCCTCGGCCTCTGGCCGGGCGTGGCGGACCTGGCGGCGGGCCCGGGCCTCGGGCTTCCCGCTCTCCCGAGCCGCCATCCTCCTCTTCTCCGCCTTTCTTGTGCGGGCGCCCCCGTCAGGTGAGGGTCGGCGGCGCCCGGTGGTCTAGCTCTGCTGGGCAACCGTGACTCCACCCTTGATTACGTTTTTCCTGTGTCACGTGCACCCGGTTTATATAAACACTGTACTTAATTAATATCTGACCAAAAAAGTGTATTTTATGTAGAGGTCGTACAAAGTCCCTGTATTTGCAAAGAGGAGCGAATGACTGGGAAAATTAATCTTTTGAAGATAGAAGAACACTCAAACACCTGGAGTTAAAAGTTTGAAATTTAAACTGAATTAATAAACTCCTAAATTAAACCCATGGTTCATTTACTGGCTTTATATTTCTTTGTGAGTTCCATAATGTATTGTCCTGAGACAATGTATTCCATTGTATGTGTACTGTGATTTTAAAATATCCGTGATACAGGAGCTCCCTCTATTGGCTGGAGATATAAAATGCAGAATATGCTGAGTTTTTTTTTAAGTTTTGGTATCTGAAGAGCTGACATTCTTTTCCATATTCTTAAAAAATACATTTATGATATTTCAAAATAACATGATAGAAACAAATGCTGAAAAAAGTTAAAAGAGTATAATCGAACTGTTATTTAACTGGAAAGATTTAGSTACTTTATTTTTGTTTATATATTCTAGACTTTCTTAAAAATAAAATCCAAGAATTGATGAATGAAAAGCACAAAAGAGGCTTTCTAAAATGCTAACACTTGTTCAAATAAAGGAAAATGAAAAAATAAGGTCTCTGAGAAAAATGTAGAAGGAATGTGGAAGTAATCATGGGATAGATGAGGTGGAGAAAAGAAAGAGTGAGTGAGTGGAGATTTACAAGATATGCTAAACTCCAGTCATCTGGAATCCAAAAATTGATCTATGAGAATATCCAGTGTCCTTTATTTGCAGGATTAAGATATTTTTGAAAGTGGTTCATGGTTTTGTACCTAATATGAAAGGAAGTGTTTTCATTTAAATATCTTCCTTGTCGTTTTTTTTTTTTGAACTACTAATCAGACCAGACCAATGAGGGTATAAGAAGCAGAATAAGGAATCAATATCTTTATATGTGAACCATGAGTACTAAAGGCCATGTATTTATATGGCATTTTATAATTTATACAAATTCCATTTAGTCCTACAGTAACTCTGTAAGGTGGAATTATTGTCCCAGTTCCAGATGAGAAAAGTTRGGCTCCTAAACTTTAAAGTGGCTTTCTTAAAACCAGTATGTGGTGGGATTTAAACTCAGATCTTCTGGCTTTTAATACCATTTTCTTTTATTTGTGCTTTACTTCTTTGTTGTTAGAGAGTACTTGGGTACAATGCTTTGTAATATTGTATTTTTATATTGATTTTCTCACTTGTTCTGTTCTCACCATTATCCCTTTCAAACGTGTTCATTCAAAAATGAGGGAYATCAATATATTTCACAATTATTTAATAGTTACCATGTACATGGTATAATGCTTTGTTTTATTTTTTGRTAAGTTTATATAAACACTGATACTTCCATCAATTGAATGTATAATAAATAAAATTATATTTGTCCATAAACAACTATAATAAAACGTGGAATGAATGACATAACAGAGGTGGTAGTGATATCCTAATATCCTGACAAATACGAACAAACAGGAGTTTTGAAAGAGGTAGTATTTGTGATTTGGGTCTTGAGGGATAGGAGATTTGGAATTTAGAAAGTAAAACGGTGTTCTAAGTGAATGTGAAAAAAGCCAGAAATGAGATATAATAGGGAGAAGGCAGTAGGTAGATTAAACTCATTAGGGCACATGAAGGTGAGTAGAGTTGGAAAAGAGATATGAGATACAAGAGGAACTGGATTTATGARCTTCACCTTTGTGTAAGATCAAGTGTACTTTAAAGTTTTGGAGTTTCCAGTGAGGAAATTTGTTAACCCTTTGCTTTCTTTTTGCCTTTCATAGTTGAATATTTGGTTCGATTTCCAAGAACTTTTCGCTTGACCCAAGAGTCAGTGAAAATAGTGGGATCATCAAATTTTCCAGGTATTCATATATAGACTCACAATAATTTTTAAAAGTTAACATTTGTTTACATTTTTTCTTTTTAGTTATACATGACATTAAGAATTTATTTTTKACATATCATACATACATGGAATATAACTTGCCATTTTTGTGATTTAAATTTTATTAGTGTTTTCCAAAAGGCTAATGTTTCCTAGTTCTCYTGTCTTCTAAAGTTCATGTCCTTCTACAGAAATGGATTAAAGTTCTTTCCATATAGTTAGATTCTTCAAAGTTTAATTTTTATGCTATAATGACATAAGTATGCAAAGGATAATTCTAAAATTTAGCTRAAGTTGCCAATATTGTTTTTGCTTATTGTATAATACTAGCTATAATATTAAATATGGAAAATTTAAATATGCTAAAACATTTTAAATGAGATTTTGGATTTACAAAATCTTATAAAAGTCACATGAGACACAGAAGCCACAACTTTGTTTTTGCATTTTTATCAGGGTATAAATTCATTTTCCATAAAATTGGTGTGTTGGCAATGTTAGATAACATCCCCACTATCTTACATCGMATTTTCATCACTCTCAATAAAAACATCATACTCATTAGGTCATCACTTTCCAGCCCCTGGAAACAACAAATTGGCTTCCTGTTTGTGTAGATTTGCCGATTCCAGACATTASTGGAATTATAATTGTAATTGTAGTAGCCTTTTGTGTCTGGGTTCATTCACTTAGTTTAAGGTCTTTGAGGCTTATCATGTTATACAATATGTAAGTACTTCCTTTTTGCAGTTGAATAATATTTTATTTCTTATAAATGTTTGTTTTCCTTTCTCTTAGGCATTTTCCTAGGGAATTTGCTAGAAAACAGATGATCCTATTTTTAACATTTTGAAAAACTGCCAAACTAATTTTCAAAGAGCCTGAACTAGCTTACTTTCACACTAGTAATGTTAGAGGGTTCAAACTTTCCAACATCCTCACCAATACTTGATACTATCCATCTTTTTTTGTTTACAGCTATCCTAATGTGTATAAAGTGGAATCTTGTGATTTTGATTTGTATTTCTCTAATAGCTAATGATTTTATGTTTATGGCCATGTGAATACCATTTTGCAAAAATGGCTATTTAGATCTTTTTTCTGTTTTTAAAATATTTTTGGTTGTTGTTGAGTTATAGTGTTCTTTATATATTCTGAGTGTTGGACACATACCATACAAATGATTTACAAATATTTTCTCCAATTACGTGGATTGTATTTTAACTTTATTAATGTATCTTTTGAAATTCACATTTTAAAGTTTGATAAAGTCTAATTTCTATTTTTTCTGGTACTTCTGGTGTCATATTTAAGAAATTATCACCTAACCAGTTGTGATCATTAATGGAGCAATAATTTCCTTATATGTTTCTTCATATGAGTTTCATTGTTTTAGCTCTTTTATTTAGGTCTTTGATCCATTTTGAGTTAATTTTTATGATGCAAGAGAGAGATCAAATTCCTTCTTTAGCATGTGGTTGTTACCTAATTGTTCTAGTACCATTTGTTGAAGATACCATTTTCTCTGTATTTAATTGTCTTGGCACCATTCTTAAAAATGATTAGCCATAGTTTATGAGTTTTATTTATGAGCACCATTGATGTATATTAATTTTTGTTCTGAATGTTTTGTAGTTTTCAGTATACAAGTCTTACATTTCTTTTGCTAGCCTTATTTCTAAATATTTTATTATTTTGATGCTGTTATAAATGGAAGAATTTTATTTAGTTCATGGATTGTTCACTACTAGAAGTACAATTGATATTTTCATTCATATATATGTTTCCTCATGTCAATACCTTGTTGTCTTGGCTATTGTTGCTTTATAATAAATTTTTGAGCTATTAAGTGTAAATCTTTAATAAATTTTTTCTTTTACAGAATGTTATGGTTATTCTTGCATTTCTATATCAACTCTTGATTTGGTGTGTCAGTTTCTGCAAGAAGTCCCTTGGTCTTAAAGTAGGAATTGCATTGACTCTGCAGATCTATTTTTGTCATCTTAACAATTTTGTAATTGTTTTCAATCCAGGAATATGGACTATCTTTCTATTTAAGTTTTCTTTAATTTCACTTTATGATGTTTTGTTGTGTTCAGTGTGCAAGTTTTAACTTTCTTTTGTTCAGTTTTTTTTACTAAATATTTTACTACTTTTGATGCTGTTGTAAATAGAAGGATTTTATTTAGTTTGTGGATTGTTCATTGACAAATTGTAGAAATACAGATGATATTTTGGTCATATCCTGCCATCTTGCTTTATTCATTATTTAGCTCTATTTTTAGGGTGGTTCATTAAAATTTTTTTGACATCTGCAAATGGAGATAGTTCTATTTCCTTCCTTTCCAATCTGAATTCCTTTTATATTTTCATGCCAGCTTCTTAGGTAGAACCTCCAGTTCAATATTGATGATAACAGATATCTTTGTCTTGCTCCTGATCTTAGGGAAGGAAAAGTTTTCATTAAGTTGGATGGTAGGTATGAGTTTTTTTTTTAAAATAGATGTCCTTAATTAGGTTGAGTAAGTTCACTCTGTTCAGTTTTACTCTGTGTGTGTGTGTGTGTGTGTGTGTGTGTGTGCATGCGCGCATGCGCGCGAGCAAGTGTATATATGTATGTATGTATGTATGTGTAAAGGAGGGAGACAGAGTGTTAGATTTTGTCAAATTTTTCACATCTATGGAAATGATCATTTGTTTTTTAATCCTTGCTTCTATTAACATGTTGCATTACATTGACAAATTTTAGTATTCTGAATCAGCATTGAATTCCTGGAATAAATCTTAGTTGACTGTGWTATATAGTCCCTTTTTTATTAATACTGCCAGACTTGGTTGCCAGTATTTTGATGATTTTTATACCTCTAGATTCATAAGGAAATTTGATCTGTAGTTTTCTTGTGATATCTTCATTTGATTTTGGTTTTAGAAAAATATTGGATTTGTAGAACAAGTTGGAATGTTTTCCCTCCTCTTCTATTTTTTGAAAAAGTTTATGAAGGATTATTGATAATTGTGCTTTAGTCTTTTGGTAGAATTTACCAGTAAATCCATCTGGTACTGGATTTTTCTTTGTGGAAGTTTTTTGAATACTAATTTAATCACTGTGGTTGTTTTAGGTCTGTTCAGATTTTCTGTTTCATTGTCTTCAAATGAGAAATAAGCTAGTAATTGAAGACCACTTGTATGTTGTTAGTTCCTTTCTTTGTTRCTACCAGTATTATATTTTTGTTTATAGACTTAATTATGTACCTGTGTATAAATTTCTTTAGGTTTATTTTAATTAGAGTTCATTGAACTTCTTGGATTTGTAGATTCATACTATTCATCCTTTTGGGGATGTGTTTATCATTATTTCTTTAAATATCTTTTGTGTCTCTCCCYGCTCTTCATGGAACACTCATTATTATGCATGTACTCATGATTTGATGATTTCTCTCATGTCTCTAAGTCTTTATTCATTTATCTTTGTTTCTTTTTTTCTTCAGACTAGATAACCCCAAATTGTTTGTCTTAAAATTCACTGATTCTTCTGCCTGATCAAGCTGTTGATTCCTTTTAGATAATTTTTTATTTCAATTATTATATTTTAAAAAAAATATTTATTTTTTTAGTTGTAGCTGGACACAATACCTTTATTTTATTTATTTTTATGTGGTGCTGAGGATCGAACCCAGGGCCTCACACTTGTTMGGCGAGCGCTCTACTGCTGAGCCACAACCTGGCCCTCAATTATATTTTTTTAAAGGGGGGGGGGAGAGAGAGAGAGAGAGAGAGAGAGAGAGAGAGAGAGAGAGAGAACTTTTTTAATATTTATTTTTTAGTTTTCGGTGGACATAACATCTTTATTTTTTTATTTTTATGTGGTGCTGAGGATCGAACCCAGCGCCCCGAGCACACCAGGCAAGCACGCTACTGCTTGAGCCACATCCCCAGCCCCAATTATTATATTTTAATTGTTCTTTTATAATTTATCTCTTTGTTGATATTCTCTGTTTAGGGAGATGATCATCTCATACTTTTTTTTATTTCTTTAGACATTCTTTTCTTGTACTATATTTAAAATAGCTAATTTAATATGTATTTATGCAGTAAGCCCAATATTCGATCTTAATTTTAGGGTAAGTTTCAATTAGCTGCTCTTTTTCTGTGTATGTAATTGAACTTTTTTCTCTTTTTTTGCATGTTTATGTTTTTAGTTGAAAACTGAAAATATTAATAATATAGCAAAACAACTCTCTAAGATTCTTCTTTCCTCCCAGAATATGATGTTGTTTGCCTATCTTTTTTTGTTTGTTCAGTGAATTTTTTGAACTAATTGTGTAAATTATTTATTCTTTACATGCATAACCACTGAACTTTCTGAACAGTTGTCTTTGGCTAATGATTATACAGAACTCTAATTAAACAGCTTAGTCTTTGCTGAGTACTATGTGTACATATTGTGGATTGTATCTTTAATTTTTAGTGTCTTTTATTTTTAGCTATGTATTTGACAGTTCTACCTTAGCATTGACTTTATGCTATGTAGAATCTCAATTTCAGTTAGAGGTGAGAACATGAGAATTCTTGGTATTTACTGAGAGGGCACACGTCCTGGACATGCATACAGCCTGGAATATACAGGCTTCTATTTTGTTAGGAATATGTCAGTTTTCTTACTTCCTGTGGAAATGTTACTCACCAGATTTTTATCTTAAGCTTTTGGTTAACTTACTAGTTTCCCCAACTATCCCCTACTGTATCAGGCAGTCACAAAATCAAGGGAAGATAGCCATGTGAATGGGGTCTTTCAAGAGATTGCTAGACAGGTCTAATAATGACAGTTCTCTGGGAAGGAAGTTTTGGAGTTATTTTGATCTTGTCTGCCCCTTCCAGTGGTTGTGAGGCTGCTGGTTTTCACTATAATTTAAGACTTTACTTTCAAGAATACTACAGAGATTGTGAGGACAGCAAAAGAGCAAGTTAAAATGCTTT